AAAGCGATAGCATCCATGAGATCCGATACCAACGACCAACTTAGAGCTGTGACGGCGAGGTCTAGTGTCACCACCACAGTAGCCGCGACTCTCGTCCGCTGCTGCAGGAAGGCTCGCAGTGGTGGTCGAACCTCTGAATGGGCTGAAAGGCAAACATCCACAGGATGACGGATGCCATGCGATGTACAGAGATATTTCTTCTTCCATCTCTGACCATCACCCAGCAAACTGCCAGTAGCAATAACTCGCAGGTCATCCCTGTTCTCCTTATCCTGAATCCAAGCAGATAAGGTGACAACACTGGTTATTCCGAACATGTACCTTCGAGGAACCCCTGGTCGGCACTGATGACGATGCCGAAGCCTTAACGGTCCGAGTGCGACGGCCGCTCATAGTTAAATATAGAACAGTTCGCCCCACACTATGGAATGCCGTAGCAAGAGTAGCCCCTCCAAGAGCTCACGAACAGTGGCCTTCTAGTCCTGCACACCTAGCGAGTTCCCGATCACATCAGCATCATCATCGCCAGCAAAGGTCGAAACAAACTCTCATGAGCTGCTTAGAAACTTATGGTAACGTAGGAATCAAACGTATAGCTATAATGTGGATAAGGCCCTACGGCAGAGCGCCACTCGGCTGGTAGTAGCCTCCACCAGCACCTCCGCCCGATAAGTCCGCCAACGAGGTATACCGATCCAAGTACTGCTTCTCATCCTCGGCCGTAACCTAACACGCTCATCACTAAGAGTTGAGTACGCTGATCATAATAGTCTCACCGTGAACTTAGAGTCGCATATACTGAGATTTTGTTCTTCCTCTCTCGCAGACTCCCCGCCACTTCCGCCGGCAACAAGGGCCATTTCAAGGACGTGCTGTTCTGCCTCGGGACCACTATAGGCGAACTTAAGCCCCGATTTCCGTACTGACTCGTCAAAGTCAGCGATGACCTACACACCACTACCCAAAGGCTTGCGATCGCTGAGAAGTTCCTCACCTTGAAACTATACCCCTGATCAACCAGATACTTCTGCCGTTTCAATGCATACTCCTTTTCAGGTGTGTCCTTCGAGACCAGCGAATAGAAGTATCTGACCATGACACCAATCACACCTCCCTTCCCACGTCGACATATCATAGACATACGCATTAAAGCCGGCGTCATCGCGGTAAGCCTTCGGTCGAAGGATTCGTCCAAGCCTCTGAGCTTCTTGCCGTCTACTGCCATAATGTGAGCTGATCTGTATGACCACGTTGGCGTTGGGTATGTCAATGGCGTTGTCACCGACCTAAGCATAAGCTCAACACCCCTGACCTCAAGTATGGCCGGGGCTCACCTGGGAAAGGTAGATACAGTTGATCTTATCACTATGCTGGAAACATCTAATGCAAGCCATTCGCTCAGCCATGCTGACACTGCCACATATAAAGGCCTTTCTGGTCTTCTGAGCCATCTCCTTCAACAACACCACGTTATCGCAGAAGACGATTATTTTGTCTCCTCGAGATTCGTGCAGTGCAACAAGGTACTCGCATGCCATCAACTTGTTGGTATTAGATGTATACCTGCCAACCTTAGAGCTCTCTCAAGCCACCCAACAAAGAAAACCTACAAGGCCCTTTTCACGTGGTATGTGTTGGTCTCCAAATATGCCTTCCAAAACAGAGGAGGCATCTCACTCCACACCTCGATACACTGGACCTGACCATTCGCACATGCCAACAGGAATCTCCAGGGCTCATACGAGCCTACCCGAGCCAAGTAGCCTGCATTGACGAGCTCCTGCCAGTTCGCCTCATACAGCTTGGGGCCGATGAGGTACTGCAGATCCTCGACGAGCTCATCTTCTCGAACAAGGGTCGCAGTCAGGCCTGGCAGATCCACACGACAGATTTTGCGGTAATTGCATTAGAAGTTCTTCCTTACCAAGTTTGCAGTGGGCTCGAACCGTGGTCGCCACCGAACGGAATGTTTTAGCCGGCATCACTTGGACCTGTAGGGATCATTGAGGAGGACTAAGAGCCCGGCAACGGCACCTCGTCAGCCACGAGCAGACCCCATTCTAGCTTGGTGACGGACTCAAAGACCGCCTTCGATGCTCGAGACATCCTCTCATATGATACTGAGAACATACTGTACCTGTCGAGGAGAACGAATAACCTTATTCTGTCCAATATAATGCGATATATTCGCCGAGACTGATGGAGGGGGGTGGAATCGAACCCGCGACCTACGTGCTGATGAGAATGCACGGCCGATCTTCTGGTATCGGTTGCTTGTTCTCAGCTGTTAGCGTGATGACGTCATCAGGCGAGATCGAACAGAAGAGCTCGAATTGCCGCTTCCACTGATCCACCGCCACAGCCGTAGTCGTCAAGACCTAAGGCAACCACTAACACTTTACCCTCTCCACAGGTCACTCCTCACCATCGTTCGTTTCTTCATTGTAGCCGCTGCTGTAATTCCCACCAGTGTTTTACCAGCACCGCATGGTAACACTATCATACCTGCCCACAAGGTACCCGACTTATCCATTGTAGCAGCCCCTACCGCTCCTGGCTCGACTGCCACTGAACATCTTATGCAGAGACCTTTCTTGATATGGTCGGACGATCGTAGTAGGCCTACAGTTCACAGTGACTACTATCAGCCATTCCAGGTTTCTCCTCAACGAGCCCTATCCCATACCACAACTGGATCAACTTTCCAAAGACTCTACACCGTACTAGAGGCTATTCCCATGCATAGTCCCCGCCCCTACCTAAACTGCATGTTGATGTAATTGGAGTCATCGTCATCACGAAAATCATACTCCTCCAGTAGCGGTATCCGAATCTCGCGATACCTACCAAAATACCATAACATTCTTCGCTTCGCTCCGCTCAACATACGCAGTTGCCTTCACAGTTTCCACATCAGCCGAGTTGATCTCAAACATGTGCACGACTTGCGCAGCCATCTTATCGCCAGTAGAGGCGTTGGCAGCCCCCGGATTGGTCTCAGCCGTCGTCGCTAAAGACAACCTCTATACCATCAACCAAGACCTTAGCAATCTTAGCAACGACCCCAAGGGGCCAGGAAGCAGAATGCCCCTCAGCGAACAGTGGTGACCATTACTACGGCGATGGACAGTGTTCCCACTCTAATGTGACTACTAAGCCTTATTGTGAGCTATAGTATGTGCAATCTAAATAGTTTTCAGAGTGATATGGTATCAGCCCAAAGTTTCAGTTCGAAACTCCCTATGGTTGAGGTCTCCTCGTCCTGCAAAGTTTCGTACTCTCGAGAGATTGCGCGTACTTCACGTGACATGTATCCCAGAAACCCCATTCTGATGCATTGACTTTTTACCCGTTTTACGCGATGTGGCGTGATACTCCATGTGAAAAACGTGATATTCGCGATATGAAGTGAATTGAGAACACTTCGCGAATCAGCCCGGAAAGATGACCCCATTTCACGTGAGAAACTCGCAGCATTTCACGTGTCTTACGCGTTTTTCACGGCATACATTATTCGCGAAGTAAAATGAGGGTTATGTTTTTCCCTAGTGTTTTTGTGATACCCGAGACGTGGCCCTTCCCACCCCGACCAACACTTACTAGAGATTATTTGACCCAATTTACACTTCCTTATCTTGCTGTTGTCCTCTATCATTCTCAATAATGACAAGTCACTCGATTCCACGAAGTACCTTATGAACATCAACTCATTCGACTACCACAGCAGCAACGGCGGCGGCGGCCATCCACATGCACATGATCATCTACGTGTGTTGGTGATAGTATGGAAAATTTGAGGAAATTCTCGTTGGTTTCTATGAACTCTCACCCGAATTCGTATATGCCACTACTCATACGTATATAAACTCCTATAATTAGTGAGGAAACTATAAAATTCAACTTTAGTGAGGAAAGCGAACATACATCCCAGCACTGGCGCTACCTGTTTCTGCGTAGGACCAGCCTAACCTTGCCTATCCTCGACCCACTCTGCTGAATGTAATCCAGGAGGACTGGATCTATTTCATTCTTCGAGAAACGATCAAGGTCAGCTATGACCTCCTCCACGGACATACCCAAAGATATCGCCGCGTACCTGTTGCGCACAGCGAAGATTTCCCACACACACAGACCAACCCCCGCAGCTCTACTCACAGAGAAAACACTGTGATTTGGAAGTGATGAACCTGAGCGAGACCCAATACCCTCCTCCCAAGCACGAACACCCAAACTCGCTGACTCACCCACGACGGTCTCGATATAGGCTCAGCGATAGCAACGAGAAAATCTGTCACCGGACCGAATAGATCCGGATGAAGACCCGCCTCGAAAATAATGCGACCATCGGGACACACCTGAACGGTTATATGGGATACCTCATCAATATGCGGAGGCGCTCACCCAAAGCGGCCGATCCCTGTGGTCCGGTTTCAACTTCATTCTTCCCGATAGGTCCATGAGCTGGGTCGTAGCAGTGTCCTACAGAAGAGTCCAGTCCGACTGGTCATAGTCCCCCCTCTCCTCCTACCTGCGTTTCCCCGATGACTGGTATCGGCCTATTCATCACTTCTCCACTATTAACAGCAGCGCTCTTGTTGGAGTATATCCGCAATGCAGATCGGCCACCTGATAGGTCAGATTATGACACCAACAGCTCGTCTACTACTATTCTTACTACTAGAAGGCAGCATCTGACCTGCAGCCGCCGCCTGTTGCTTTAATGCTGATGCCGTCAACCTCACCCCTGGTGGCAGGGCCTGAAAACCCGCCATCTACCACTTCGACAAGAGATAAAGACCGACTACCGTAGAAGAAACACTAGACGTCGCCGAGCCTGCTGCTGTTGCTGTAGCAGATACATCTGCCTTAGTCTCCTCCATCACTGCATCCCCTACCCCTCGCAAACGTATTCGATTACTCCGCGTAGAGTACACCGACTGAGCCGTATCAATCGCCGTACCTAACAAGATGATCTTCCTCAACCATAATAGACAATATAATGGAGTTTCATCCGTGATATGAAAACACTAGTAGTAAAAATTATATCTTACGACTACTCCATAGCACCCCGAATATCGCAGAGTATTACGCCACTTCACGTAAAACGATTAAGACCCCGATATACCTGCTGCCAGCAACTGAGCTTTTTTTTCTTTCTTTTCCTTCTTTTTCTTTTTCTTATCCTTCTTATCCTTATGGTGGTGATGATGGTGACGGCGACTCCCATCATCGCTGCTCCCAATAGAGTTCTTCCGTTTCGATATTGACCCATCGGACACTCTAGGGCTCGATGAGACCCCTCCTCCTAACTCTACCACTACGCCTTCTTCTGTCTTCTTGCCCATTCACAACGACAAGACTGTATACAGCACATACGCGACCATGACTAATCCGACAACACAAGAAAATCGAGGGAGTGAAATTATAATACTACGCGGCAGCAACCCTCCGCTTGCTGCTACCTTCCCCACAACGCTGATGCGTTCAAGCTCCAATCTAAACATACAAATATTCACGCACCTACCACCTCCTCCTGCTCTGTCTTCTTGTGCATCAATAAAGGAACAACACTGTACACACTACCCTGCTCACTATCATCCAAGAACACCAACAACAACACGAGGAAGCTGTGAAAGTGAAATTATAATACTACGAACCAGACCGGGAAGAGGCAGCAGCCCTTCGACCGCTACTACTGCCTTTCCCTACAACTCTCATTCGCTCGAGCTCCAATCTAAACACACAAGTATTCACTAATCTCCAGCAGCTACCGCGACCCAGATATTCCGAAGTATGCCAACCAACCTAGAGTCTTCCATAAAATTCCACCAGGCTCACTACAGCCACATGCATACCTTGCTTTTCAGATTTCTGGATGTCACATTAAATCAGTTGCAATGGCGTTCACCACAACTATTGGGAACATTTCATACGATTCAACTAAAGCGCCCCCCGTCTGCATCGCTCCGCTGCGTACCTGTTGATCATACTGTGAATTATCTGGTTCTCAATCTTCAACGCCTTCAGCTCTAAATCGATCTCCTGGCAACTGTAGACTTTCGGCGGTCTCGGCAGCTGATCTGATAGGATCAGTAGGGATGAAGATGACCTCCACAAGATCGAGAAAACGTTTGGTCGGGGCGTTTCGAATAGAAAATGTTCAAGTGAAGTTTTTTAGAAAAGTGGATCCGTGCAGTATCCGACCGGTAGATGCTGCATCAACTTTCAGGCGAGTTCCAAGGCCTGGCGACACATTTCTCCCCGCGACTGGATTAGGCGTACTATAGACATTTGATAGGAAAATTTCTGAGATTTTCGTAATTCTGGAAACAGACTTTTAGTCGTAAACTGTGGTTCCGAGATAACCCCAGGCCGCCTCGAACTATCTTAATTCGCTAGCTGTCAATCACGGATATAAGTAATGCCCAACCCAGCGACACTACTCTGCAATTGATACTCCGTCACTCCGCTTTCTCCAGGCGTAGACGACACCGGCGACGACGATGAGGAGGAAGATGATGGTGATGGCATTGGCAGGGACATCTTCTAGTGATACACTGAGCGGGAGAGGAGAGATTCACATCCACTGACTCCGACACTCTCGAACGAGCCACACTATACAGATGTACCGTTAGTGTAAGCGCAAGATGAAAAAGTAAGAGAGAATTGATGAGATACAATGAAGATAAGAAAGTCATGGAATTTATAGGACTAGTGTGGGGCTCTCGAGATGAGGCTCCAGTATAGATTGCTATTCGATTCATAGCATGTGAACACATATCCCCATACCATCTCTCCCCGAAATCCTCTCTGAATGCACGTAGCAACAGTCTGATAGTCTCTCCCCCTCAACAAGCGACCAAGCTAGAACGACACATCTTACTCCAATCCATCACTAACAACAACGGCCGACATACAGCCTGTCCATACACCCCCGAGTGATCACCGTG